GTATTCGAGTGTTGCGATCGCGAATAAGAACAAAATCCATGCACACAATAAACAGTAAAATTATCTATTAAAGTACTATACAAATAAAATTTTATATACGAACATAAAAAAAAGCAATTTTTATGTTACCATTCTTATAAAAAAATTCTAACAGTATATAAAAATAAAATTTAAATGTATTAAATGAGTTAATGCAAACATTTACTTACCTCCTTATAAATAAATTTGGTTTTCTTGCTTTCCAAGGAAAAAATTTATTAAGAATGGGAATTATTGATATCACGATTTATGTTTGAAAAAATGAAGTTGCAAATAATTTTAAAAACTCTTAATTAAAAATAAATTTTAATTTCAAAAATTAAACAAAACAAAAGGTAACAGAAAATTTATATCTGAATTAAAAATGGTTAATTTAAATGACACAATTAAATGAGTTAAAAACTGGAATTTAACTGCAACGTTTTACGTTTGTCTCAGGCAACGTTTTACGTTACCTAAAGTTTTCGATTTGGAAAATAGCTTTAAAGTCGAAAATAAGAGTTAAATATAAATTTTACTCGACTTTATTCTTGCGAAAGTCTGAAATTCAGAAGGGTTGAAGTATATTCTTCACCCCCTCACTATAAGAAGAAAATAAAATTTTCTTTTTGAAGAATAGCTTCAAGGTTTTTTTTAAACAATTTTACTGGACTTTATTTTTTCAAATGCCTAAATTTCTGAAGATACGAAAAAATTTTAGTCCTCCTTACTTTATATCAGAAGAAATTAAAGTTTTCTATCCCCTTACTATAATTTAAGAGGAAAATGAAGTTTTCTGTTTGGAAAAGATCGTCGAAGTTATGAAACAAAAAAATTTTTTTCTTCTAAAATTTTCAACTTTACTTGATTTTATTCTATTAATGTCTAAATTTCAGAAGATGAGAAGCAAATTTTTCGCCCCCTATCACTTTTATTTGGAAAATAGATTCAAAGACTCCAGCATAAATGAACACACGCGCTAAATAAGAAAGGGAAATAATTTGTGAAAAGGTGTTTTACCGTTTTTTACCCTTCCCTTTATGTTATAGTAGGTACGCAATTACAAAAAAGAAAATTTTCATCAACTCTATCTTAACACAATTTCCTTCCTACATATATATTATTAGAGTGCTTTATTTTGAAAGAAAGAAAAACATGATGTGGTCCCTTCATATGGGACCCCTTCATATGGGACCGTCGGGGCCACAGGGCGGTGCCCCGGCGTAGTTACGGCCCTGATTAAAATAGTTTTGACCTGTGGTTAATTTCATTATTTTCAAGCATTATTAGTTTAATACTGTATTTTTTCATGTCGAAAAAATTAAAAGTTAAAACAAAGATGCAAAAAAAAAAAAATTAGAATTTAATGTATAGTTTAAGCATCATTGTTTCTGTAGAACAAATTTGAATTATATTAAGGATAAATCGAAAATAAAATTATGTATTATTTATAATATCCTAAAAAAATCCACTTCGAAGAAAGAATTTTTTTTATTTACTCTGCAGTTAAAAACTTTTTCTCCAATTATTTTGATGAAGAATAAAATCACCCGAGTGTCTGCTATTGTGGAAATTTTGGCACATATTTTAAGAATGGGTAATTGTGACTGGACAAAGTCCAGAATTCGATCCCAGTAATGTTAATAGTGTTGCCTTGACAAAACAGCCTTGACCCCGTTCTGTCAAAAAAAGCCTTCACATAAGTTGTTGTATAAACACAATCAATAGAGTACTATTTCGACACCAGATGTCGCGAGTAATGCCAAAGGTAACCAGAAGATATCCTAGATATGGGGTAATGCTGCAGTGCGTAAAAGACGTTGCCGGTACCGGCATTAGTATACGTTTAAGAATTTGCGACGTTTCACGCGTCACCTAATGGGGGATTTTAATTTCGGAATTTCATCTAATGTAGTTAGTGCAATCTCACCTGTCGATTATAAACAAAACAGCATTTCGAAATCATATTTTAGTAACGATTCAGTAACGCATAATATGCCTGATGAACTGCTCGTGGAAAAGACGACTATTTCCTCCACAGGTAAACAAACCGATCCTCCATCCTCAAACGGAGAGATAATCGTCAGCAATGGGGACAGAAATCTTGATGATTTCACTAGTGCTAATGTTAAAAACGAAGATCCTGAACTTTCAATAAATAATCAACAAGAAAAACAAATTAATGAAGTGACATCAACTGCTGGAAGTGGAAATTCCAGCACACCTCTGCAATTAGAATTTTCTGACTGTGCTACTACAGCTTCTGCCCCTAGTTTTTGGTCAGGAATCACCGGTGATGATAATTTTAATCCAGGTGTTTCTCCTTTAAAAAATACCCTTTCATTTCAAAACTTTCCTAATGTTTCAAACCAAATTTATAATTCTAGTCTAGGAGCTCAAATTAGTTTACCACAATCTTTACCACCTCAACGAAGGGCTATTACCGGTGCTCACAATTTTAGTCAAAACAGGCATCAACAACCTCAATCAAATATGTTAAAGACTTTTTCCAATTGGAATAATTCACAGAACACTTCTTGGTCTGCACCACAAACTCCAAATGGGTTATTACCGTGGAATACTGTTAACTTAGTGAACCAAAAGAGAACGGTACCGAATATCAATCCAGTTTGTACTCAGAAAAAAACTCCCCCTGCAATAGGCCAACATTCAGTGGTCATATCACCGTCCAAATTCAGACGAAGTACTTCATTGCCTTTAGGAAAACAATTTCCTCATTCATTTGGAGCGAATCATGGTTTTGACATGTCCTCTCTTGATGAAAATAGAGATGGGAACATAGTCTTTCCATTTCAGGTAAATATAAAGTTTTTTATTAAAATTGTTCTTACATTATGGATATTTTTACCTGCTGTAATGTTATCTAAATTATTAGATATAATAATAAAACTATAGATTATAAATATGTTGAGTCTAATAACAATATTTAGTATTAATCAAACTTCTGCTTAATATTAATATTTTTTTACAAAATTTAGATTGTAATAAACATTTTATAATCAAAAGAGTATTTCCATAGTAGTGCCTGTTCGCACCAATTGAAATTGCTAAGCTGTGTAAGTGTGGATATTTCAGTTTTGGCATTGATTCATGCCAATAGCTATCAACAAAAGGATTTTAAACTTGCCGAAATTTAACAAAAAATGTGATCTGTGGCAGAATATTCGCAAAGTCTATGAAATTTCCAGGCAGTGGCCCGATATTTGGTTATATTTTTTATAAGCCGAGAGAATGTTGAAAAAAATTGGCGTGTTTTATAAAATAGCATCTTACCAGTTTTAATAAATGTTCCTATGTTATAAACAGGTAGAATTTATTAATTAGCACCACATATTTTTACATACAATATCAGTTCCGTTTTCTTGTAGGATCACCAGCTGACCAATAACATGCAATCAAATTCCATGGATGCCTTGCGATTTCCAGTGGAACAACAGCTACTGGATATTATGAGAACAACTAATGCAGATAACCAAGATCATTTTAAAGGTAGCATTTTTGTGCAGAATATAAACCATTTAATGTTTTTAAAAATTACTTTACAATTTTTAAATTATAATTATTTTTCTTTTTAAAGTATCAATTAGTTATTTGTTTTTCTAAAAATATAATGAACTTATTTTTAATAATATAGTTTATGAAGTGGTATAGGTATATTACAAATTGTTTCTGACATTTCACTATTTCAACTTTTATATGCTGCTGTTTTCTTTTTTGCAAAGCTTAAGCTCAAACACTTTACAAGACTCTTGGCAAAACATTTTGTGGGGTCTCTGGAAAAGTGGATTATTTAGAATGCTGTTAAATTTTTTCCTTAGTTATTTAAACCAATCATATGATTTTATTTATTTTTCGAATTTCATTCCTAAGAATGAATACCTTAAAAATTCTTTCTATTACCTCTTTTATTTTTAATATATAGTTTTCAAGTTTTGGATTGTCATTTAATTTTGTCACTGCCATGTATCAAATGCAAGGCTTTTAGAAATATGGAATTTTTGATTTAAGTGTCCGCTTAAATAGTCATGTAAAAATGTTTAAATTTGTCTTATTTTCTAATTTATGATTTTGATTTCTATGCAGAGACCACTGTCTTTAGAGATTATGGCACCTATGATTGTAAGAGACAGTGACATTTCAAGGGAGGTGGCTGGGAAAGTTTGTTGCAGGTGGCGGTTAAAAAGGCAGTAAAATTGCTGATGCTAACAACTTCTACTATGTTTTTCCCTTAAAAAGTTTTTTTGTTAATCAAATACATATTAGGAGGTGCCACAATTATTATGATAATAATCTTTTTCTGTGCATGTTTTTTAAATGAAATTTGGAGAATTTTTATTTATTTAGAGCAGTGGCTCTCAAACTTATTTTGACTACTGCCCACTTTAAAAAGAAAAAAAATTCCAATTTTTTTTAAACTTTAGTACATCTTAAAAAGCAAGATAGTAATCATTACTTTAATTAAGTTTAATTTAATTATGGCTTTTCGCAAGAGCAGAAATGCAAACTTGCTTCACTTTGTTGAATTCTATTTTCTAGTGGTAATGAAAGTGTGGTATTTTCTAGTGGTATTTTTAGTTTAGTATTTTTCATTTTGAGTAATTTTTACACCACTTCATAGTATCATGAAATACAACTTTATTGTAGTTATGGCATGGTGACCCTTTTAAAGAGTGGGCCTAATTATCCTTATTCTATAAATTTTACTGTTTATTTATAATTTTATTCAAACACAGTTTTTTTAAATTAATTAAAGCGAATAAATTGTAAAATTTAAGTGGATCCCTATTATCTTGTAAACATCTATTTACATTTTTCGTTAATTTAAATCAATATTTAGAATGCTCATTCTGGATATTTCACAATGAAACTAAAAGAAGGGTAAAGAAGCAGTTTTTGAAACTAATACTTACGTTGTTCGGATTTCTTGAAGTGTATTTGACCCTCTTATAATATATCATTGTCACTATATCAATCTCTGTTGCAGAATTTCTTCGAGCTATCTGCGACAAAACTCTAGCACTAATATCTTTCTGCAAGATACTTTTAATTATAACAAACATATCTGTTCCTATTTTGAAATAACAAAAGTGCTGTGTTTATAGCAAAAAAAAAATTATCATTTTTTTTAGCTGAGTATGTAACAATATTTTATTCTTATATTTTGTTGAGGGAAAAACTCACTATTTATTTCCTTCACATTTCATAAGTAATCATCAAAATAAAAATCATGAAATCCGTTTCCTAAAAGAAGATCGACTACGAAATCATGCAAATCAGACTCCTCAAAAAGGGATTACTTAAATGCATATTGTGTTTCGAGATTAGGTTGTTGTAATAAATAACAATCAGGTTATTCTTATATTTTGTTGGGAGAAAGCTCACTATTTATTTCCTTCTTCGCATTTCTTAAATAATCATCTCAATAAAAAGTAAAAATCATGAAATCCGTTGCCGAAAAAAAAGATTGACAACAAAATTATACGAATCGATTTTTTTAAAAAAACTTTTTGATATGCTAACGTGTAAACAACAGCTTTTTACATTATTTAAAGTGGTACCAATATAGCCTATTTAGGTTAACTTGATTTTGCATAATTATCACTTCTTTTATATATTTAATCTTGTATTTAAATTATATCATGAAACTTCAAATGTATTAAACTATCTATCTATTAATCTAAACTATCAATCTATTTTCCATTTTTTTAAAAATTCAGTTACGAAGAAATTTAACATAATATTCAAAGTGGATAAAATTGAAATTTCTTATTTCAATTTCATAGGTTTTTGCTAAACAGCTTTTGGAAAGAAAACAGTTGAGATTATGTAAGCAGTCATATATTTATACACAGAAAAGTCAGCAACATTAAAACAATAAAAATAACAGGTATGATCAAAAGTCTCAAACTAGTCACTGCTATTATGCCATGAGCATCCCAACCAAGTGAGGTTGAGGACACCACACTTAGTGTGTACAGGAAGAATTGTGTGAAAACAAAACAGTAACCTCCAGTCCAGAGTGCAATATTCATTATGTGAAAGGAACATTAATCTCCAGTCTTGCAGAAATTTACTTTGATGATTGAATTGAATATGGCTCACCTCCCTGCGTCTTGAAATTTCTAACATAACTTTGTAATCTGTACAAGGACAGAATACTCTGTAAAGAAAATAATAATAATTATTTAACAAATAGTAGATTGGATATTTTTCCACTGTTGATTGTTTGTCGTTTTAATTTTGCATTCTTGCTTTTTACACAGTGTAGTGGTAAATTTTTCTGTGGGTGTAACACTAAAATTGTAATTATTTTATGTGCTTTTTTAAACAATATGCAGAAGTGTTACACAAATTTTTGTTTTAAACTGTATACAGTTTAAAGTTCTTTACAATATAATTACTTTAAATTAATTTTTACTTCATTTGAAAGTATGTAATTTTAAATAACAATATACAAAATTTAAACAATATAGATTGAAAGTTTCTAAGTTAATAAATTATAAAAAAATCATATATTTAAAACTTGAGTTCTTGAAAACTATTCCACCTATTTCATTTAAATTTTGTATTTTTTCATTTAAATTTTTTTTTTTCATTTAAAATTAGATATTTAACAATTAACCTTACAATTTTAATTCCCTTCATTAAATAAAATATAATAATTATTATTTTACAAGGAATTATATTCGAATAAAAGAATTTTATAATTGTGGGAAAGCAAAAACCTTTTTAATTCACTTATCAAAATCTCGAGATACAGAACTCGATACATCATTTGCTCTGAATAAAGGGATGGGCTCCTTGGTTTTCATCTTCCTCGTCGCTTTCTTCTACTTAGTCATTGTCATCGTCAGGATTCAAAACCATCCACTCCATTTTTTACTTCATTATTTTTCATTATTAACAAAGGAAAATGGAAAAATTGCTAGCATCTCTTTTCCTTTCTATGAGCGAGAATGACATCATTTGAATGTAATTCTGAATGAAGAAGAAAGTCACAAATTTCTGGAGAAAAGAAAAAAAAATTTTTTTTCATTATTCTCAGAATGAGAAGAGAAAACTCGCAAGCATTTCTTTTCCCTCCTATGCGCAAGAAAGATATCGTTTGAATTTAATTCTGGATGGAAAAAAAAACTTCTTTCAAAAATTTCTGGAGAAATGAGAAACAAGAATTTTTTTTTAAATTCTATATTTTTCATTATTCTCAAATAAGAAGAGGAAAATCACTAGCCTTTCTTTCCGATCGCGAATAAGGCATCTTTTCAATATAATTCTGAGGAGGGGAAAAAAATCGTTTGAAAATTTTTGTGGAAAAGAAATTTAAAAATTTTTGCTTCCTAAAGGAAACATCTTTCTGCAAAAACTCTTTAATATTCTGCGACAATATCGCTGTGATTCTGGCACACGATTGTGGAATAAGAAGAGTCTAACTTGGGTTTCAACATTTTGCTAAAACATTAATTGAAATCAGAAGGAAAAATATGTGCATTACAATCTTAATCTTCGTTTAGCATAGCGATTTTATTTCTCCTCCACTCCAGTTAAACATAAATTGGCAAGCTGACATAATAAAAAGAATTTATGTTCTACCAAGTTCTGCCCTCTCCCCATTCAAGATGAAAGATTTGAAAAACAGGTGCAGTTGCAATACCTGACCTTCAGTCATTATTCCATTTCCTTGGCTGTCACTATGTTCAAAGGGGGGATAGTAGAAATGACAGATAATTTTTAAAAAAATATGAAAAAGTAGGAAATAAAAAGAAGGGGTGTAGAAATAAGAAAAATAGGAGTTTTGCAGTCCCTGTAGGGAGTAATTTAAGAGATTTCTAAGAATCAAAGAAGACAAATTAAGTTATTTGTTTTAACTCTCCTGGACTAAGCAAACAGACATGATGACTTCTCACTGTGAGAAGCTGGTAGTAATGACTCCCCCTGCTTAAGGGCCAGATAATAAGGAAACAAGTGTTCAATGAATCACCCCTTCTCACTAAGCTAACAATGAAAAGAAACAAATAAGTAAGGGGTGAGGAAGGGAATGATGGATGATATTTAGTACAAGATTTTTACTTCTCCTGACAGTGTAGGGAACTAATGATTAATTCTAAAATGATGGTAAAGTAAACATCTTTTAAAAAAGTAAGAAAAATCCTAAAATCTTGTAAGTAAAAAAAAATTTTTTTTTTTTTAATTGGTGGGATAATTTATCACATTTCTTTCCGGTTATCTGATTTCCGGATAAGAGGTTCTCTACTGTATCTTATTAAATAGTATTTTTTGTTGAGAAAGGGCAAAAGTGTAAGGTGGCTGTCCTCAAAATGTTTCAGAGATGAAAAGGATGCTTTGACACCAAAGCATCAGATTTACTACACTGCAGTGTAGTAAATCTGATCAATTGAATCTGAATCAATTCGTTACACTTGTTTACACAAAGCTTGCTCCCCACCTTTAGTTTTGTATTTCAGACCTCAGCTATCCGCCGACATTTCATATATGCTATCGACTACATAGGTGGTCCGTTAGGAAAAGGTATTAACAGTAATTTTGTGATGGAATACCGGCAATTTAAGGACTTGTTACCTTAAATGCACCAAAAATGTCCTAAATATAACTGATATATTTTTGCTTAGGTTGCAGATAATTCAATTTAGGCAAGAAAAATTTGTTTAGAAGTGAAGTTGTAATACTAATGTATCCAATAAAAGATCAAGTTAGATCTAAATGAGACAAACTTAAATGAAATAATATTGCATTTAGGCACACTGATTTTATATGATATATTGCCTTAAATATATTAAAATTTGTAAGTATTCAATGAATTAAAAAAATTTATATTTCATGAAACTTAATAATACTAATATGTAGTGATGTAAAGAATAGTGATTTAGCCGAATACCGAATGTTCGGCCAAACAAATCAGCCGAATATGAAATATTTGGTAGCTGATTAGCAACATTTTTAAAAAATCTTTTTAATAAATATTAACTTTTATACATAAATAAATTTAGTCATTGAAAATTAATCAAACCTTAGCTAGATTATTAGTATAAGGTAATGGAAGAAAACTACTATAGTTATTCATTAGGAATAGTTGTAAAGTTGAAAAAGAGAAATTGAAAAAAAAATCCCTTTAATTCGAAACTAAACTTTAATGCTAAGAATAAAATTTTCCAAAAAAAAAAACTTTCCATAAAGCATTAAAAGAAATATAGTCTATCAAAAAAGCTTTTAAAAATGTCGAGCTTTTATAAAAATGTCCATAAAAGCAAAAGATTGTTTACAAAAGTGAAACAAAAAAAAATAAAGATAGATCTAAAGTGGACGCTATACCGCAGGAGAAGCTTTTCATCATAAATTTTGTTTAACCTTCACAACTAATTAAAATTGTGAGAAATGAGAGTTCCGGCAAACCTGGAGTAGGCCATAAAATTTCAATTGCCGCAACAACAAAAAATTGCAAATATCAAAAAAGCAAGCACTTTACTAGAAGAGAACTTCCATTGAGTAACTCTAAATTATCCTTTCATAATTGGTTTTCTTTTTGATATTATGAAATTTTTTTTTCAGCATTTGAAACTTCATGACTTTCTCTAGATTTGCCTGGACTCACTTTTACTATGCTTTAAATTTCAAATAAATTATGGAGGTGAAAGAGAATTTGAGATGAAAAGTTTCTTCTATAGTGTTCTCTTAATTCTCAAAAGAATAATTTAAAGCCGAACATCTCAGTTTTCCTATAACTTTATTTTCAAGAAAAGTGAAGAAAAAGGAAAAGTCTAATAGAAACCCTCTCAATCGCCGTGTCATAATAAAAATGTTGATAAAAAAAAATTTTTTAAAGAAAAAGAAAAGAAACCTAACCTTTAAAGTTTTCAATTGAAAATGAAACTCTAAAAAAATCTCTAATTTTTTCAATCTCAATTTAGCATGCCATATTTACAGAAAAAAGTTCATTAGAAACACTCTTTAAAAAATGCTGTGCCATAATTAAAACTCTGATAAAAAAAAATTTAATAATAAAAAATCAAAAGAGAAATAAAAAGAAGGTTGTTCTTAAAATATAACTTTAACATTGAAAATCACAGTTTTCTATGTTACTAGTTATCTGCCTTGCCGTAAAAATCTATTCGAAATGTTCTGTTAAAGATGGCGTGTTATAATAAAAGCAAAAAGAAAACAAAAAATGAGGAGGAAAAAAAAATCTTTCTGAATTCTTAAAACAAAATGTTTTGAAAAGACTCTGAAATTGACTTGCTTGTATCTAATTAAAAAACAGCAGTATAAAACTCATGGTTCAGTATTATAAAGTAACTTATTTTCATTTTTTTATATTTTGTGTTTCCATTCATCTTCCGAAATATGAGTTTACAAGCCGTGTGTAAGTTTTAGAACTTACTATGTAAAAACTAGTATTAGAATTATCTAAAATTATATTAAAAAATACGATTTTAGATTATTCTTTATTAAATTCAAATACAAAATGAAAAATTGTCGAGAAATACTTTTTCAAAAAATACTTTGCTGAATATTTGGAGAACATTCAGTAGACCAAATATTCGGAAAAAGGGCCAATAGCTGAATATTTGTTACATCCCTACTAATTCTCTGCTATCTAAATTGTATACATCTAAATAATATTATTCAATAATACTGAAGTATTACATTTTTTAAAAATTCGGACAAGCAAGGGGTGAAATCACTTTTTAACATATATTACTAAAAGAAAATTTAAATGTTAAGTGTTTATTTGCTTGTTAAGCAGAGTTGTAAAGTTACATAGAAGAATATTTAAAGTATTCAGTTCTTTTTTCATTATTATGTTAGCATATTTAAGAACATAAGTAGACATTTTTGAATTGTTATTAAAAGCATTAACTAATAGTTTGATGGAATAGTTTTTTATAAAAAAAAATCCTAGGACATCTGGTTGAAAAAAATTTATTTTTTGAAAAAAAAAAAAATCCTGACTTTTTCCCCCAACTCTGATTGGCACATAAACAAATTAGACAAGTTTAATTCAAGAAATTCTAATGTAACATATGAAGCAAAACAAAGAGTAAATAAATAATAAAATCTTGAAAGAAATTACTCTAAATTGTTTAGTATGATTAAAAGTTAATTTTTCTGTTTAATTTTTAATCAGTTGGCTCCTTAGTATTGCTCCCAAAAAATGTGAGTAGTACTTTGATATTTTCGTTAAAGAAGGTCGGCATACGTTTGTTTAGTGAAAAAGTATCAATGCTATCAAAGTATCCATACTTGCCATTGATACTTCTTTTTGATAACATTGACTGATATCGATATTACCGTTTTGATAATATGGCTATTTTAATTTTTTTATAGTAATAATGAAATACTGAACCCTAATGAGATAGTGGTTAAGGCACTAAGCTGTCTTTGTAAATCAGCTAATGCAGGAAGCTTATGATAATTTCCTGTTTGTAATTTGAGCTATTTGTGCATGCACCTGACCAATATTTGTTGAGTGAGTTCGTTTTGCTTTCTTCATGTAATAGATGCTGAAAGAAGGGAGATCTGAATAAGAACTTAAGTAAATGAATTATCAAAATGTGAGTCATAATTTCAACAAAAATTCCTTACATTGAAGGACAAAATAAAAGTTATTAAGGATAGTAAAAATAAATAAATACATGAAAATTAGCTACACTATATGGCTGTATGAAAAAATTGCAGGGACTGCAGAACTCTTATTAATTTAGTACCCCTCTTTTTTTCCTACCATTTCTTAATTTTTCTTATTTTTAAAAAACCCTTCACAATTGATTTGTGTTTTTACGTCATTCACTTTTCCCACTTTCTTCCTGAGAAAGTGATTCAAGACCTTGTTTTATATTGTACATAAGTTTTTCATCTTCCATTTTTTATTGTATTTTTGTACAATTGACAATATTGTTAAAGGTTTAGTGAACAAATATTAAGTAAATTAAAAATTATAATATCTAAGTAAGTTTCATATTTAGTTCAAAATCATAATAAATCTGTATTCACCATTGCAGCTTTAGGTACGCTAGTAACTTCTTTATTGAAAATTTATAACCCTAAAGGTTTTAATTTATGTTCACATTATAACTTCTCTTTTTTAAGTTTTTCACCTTTTTCTCGTTCAGTAATCGTAAATAATAAATTTTTTACAAATTCCTCATCATAGTTTTGCCATTCTTCAATAAGTCACTGTACATTTCTTTCTTTCTTGCAACATTTACGCACGTCTATCTTATCCTACATATGTATTTTTAAGGGAGAAAACCCTCCCTGGGTCTCCCAGTTCAACTGTTCATATCTAAAATTTTTCACCTCTCTAAATACTCATATGAAATTTTAACTCTCAAAATAATCCCTCTTCTTTAAATCAAACTTATGGTCATAAAACTATTGAGAAATGCATAAAAGAATCAGAAAAATTTTCATCAGATTTTCCTGTTTTTTTATTTTTTGTCTTGATATATAAAAATTCTGTTCTTTGATTATGACGTGATTGTGGCTGATGGTGGACATTTTGATAATATAATGTGATTCTCACTTATTGAAAATTATCTGAAAATTGTGATATGATTTTCAGTTTTTCTTTAATTTTCATGTTTATTTTTTTCACCAACTACTATTTAAAAAAAATGATTAAAAACAGAAAATATTTCTATCCTGGTACATCAATTTGTTGCAATTTTTTTTTAACACCAACTGTTTTTCTGTTATAATTTATTAAAAACTCTTAGTCTAAGTTAGAGAATCCTCCCTGTATTTGTTTCCTATTGAATATTGTTGGTGTTTTTGCTATTTTTCTTAAATTTGAATACTTTGTGAAATTATTTCAAATTACATGTATCTTTGTTCTTTTTTTCGTTAAACGAAAGTACATAATTTATGAGTTGCTGCAAGTAGTGAAACATTAACTTTTTGTTTCAGGATATATGAGTTACAGCACTAACAACATTCAAAGTATGGGAAACATGCAAGGTAATTAATCATTTGTCGAATGTTTTAGTCTGTTCCTAAAATGCTTTTTTTATTTTTTAAATAACGAAAATGTAAGCTAGTTTTTGAGAACATTAAACTTCTTAAAAGAAAGATATGCAGTTGAAGCTCTGTATCCTTATTTTAAATAATTATGAAGTTATGTGTAATAATTTTAAGCATTTAGCTGATATATTTTCCACTCTTTATCATGTTAACAGCCATAAAAATTTAACTCTTTTTCTAATAAAATTTACTTCATTTAGCTTTACTTAATCCTGTACAGCATTAGAAATATTATTTTAAGAATAATTATAATATGAATTATCCATAAAACTTCGTAAGTTAGGTTTACTTTTTAAAGGAAAGAAATTTTTTATATTTATTATAATCACATGCTATAGATTATAGTTTAAACTACACAACATTACGCTGTATACATAAGCATATTTTGTCAATATGTTATTGGTAGCAAAATAACAGGGTAGCTGGATTTGAAAAAAATCTTGCACATTGGAATAAAATTAAACTTAAGAATATGTGGCACAATAAGCAGTAATAAATTGGAGGTAATTTTACTTGTTTACAACATATAACAGAAGCCTATATCTAACATAACCTTATATCATATAAAAGTTTGCATTGGAAACAATTTTTATCTCTCTTCAGTCTTTATATTTTTTAAAAATTTCAAATAAATGATAAAATTTATATCTGGTAACATCTAACCTCTCTCATATTTTTTATTTATTCTCTCATACTTTTTGTTTAGTACTATTATTTTGATTTTTTGTTACCTTTGACATCAAGTCAAGCATGAGCTTGAAAATTGCAAAAAGAGATCAATTTTCTATAATAATACCTTGGTGAAATAAATTGAGAGAATTTGCATATTTTATCGAATTTCATGAAAAGAACTGAACTGAATGTAAAACCACTGCTTTTAGACAAAAATACAAATCTTGTACATCAAATATTTATGCGTACACATGTGTGTAGGCAGAGCCAGTAGAGAAGCAGGCTTTATAAGTGTGCATAAGTTACGACGCATTTCGTTTGCTAGCACACCTCGGCGAATTTCTTGGTGCTATTTTGTAGCAGTAGGTTTAAGTCAAATTGTAACAGTAAAAATGAGTATCCTCCAATGTTTAGATGATTGAATGAAGTGGCGAATTGTGGGGAGGCTAGAAGCAGGCCAATATCAGGTCCAGATTTGTAGAGAGTTCAATTTAACGCCCAGCGTCGTGTGTAACTTATGGAGACTGTTCCAAAATACTGGATCCATCAAGAAAAAGCTTGGGCAAGGTCGTCCGAAAGCCACAACGCCCAGAGAAGATCACCATTTACCCATTATGTATACAACTTCTCAGCTCTTTCATGACTTGTATGTCATCACAGGAACCAATGTATCAAGGGTGACGACTGTTTCCAAACGTCTTCATGAGAGAGGGTTGTTTGTACGAAGACCTGCTGTTTGCCTCACTTCATTTCTACGAACAGAAGAGCCCATTCAGTGTGGTGCAGAGAGATTGGAGTATGGATCAATGGGTGACCGTTCTCTTCACTGCTGAGTCACAGTTCAGCCTAAACACCGATTCTCGCTGTACGATCATATGGAGAGAACCAGGGACCCGCTACCTACCCTCCAATGTCGGCGAAAGCGACCATTATGGCAGAGCAGGTTTAATGGACTTTGCAGGCATCATGTTCGATGGTCGCACACCTCTCCATGTCTTTAAAAGAGACTCTGTGACTAGTGTGAGGTATAGGGATGAGGTTTTGGAGCCCTATGTTCGCTTTGCCAGGGGTGCAGTTAGCCTTGAGCTCATTTTAATGGACAAAACGCGAGGCCTTATAGAGCTCTTCTGATCGACGAATTTCTAGACTGGGAGGATATTCGCTGGATGGATTGGCCAGCCAGGTCTCCAAACCGTAACCTTATAGAGCATGTCTAGGACGCTCTGGGGGTGGCAATTGCAACTCGCTACCCCCTCGGAGAATCATCCAGGGAATAAAAACAGCGTTGCTGAACGAGTGGGACCAATTGCCACAGGAAATGATAAACTGCCTTATTTCAAGTATGAAATCACACTGCAAGGCCTGTATATCAGTAAGAGGGGACCATACCCCCTATTAACCCACTTTTTTTTGTTCTGCAACCGGTGTTTCATATCTTCCGACTCCAATGAGTGTTACTCATGATCATGCTTGTGTATTACAATTGTTGAATGGTTATTTGTTTTGTATTGTATTACTGTATGGACATATCAAATTTCGTTAAAATCGGTCCAGTAGTTCTAGAGATAATCGACCAAGTCTGCAAATTCTCTTAATTTCTTACACCAGTGTAGACAAATAATTAGTATTTTAAAAAAATGCTGAAAAAGATTTAAAATTGCAATAACTTTCAAACAAATAGGAATTTTAAAAAAACTCTAATTAAAGCTATAATTCAAAATGGTCCTATCAGCATGTTCAATTTCAGCTCTGCTATTGCCTTTTAGCAACTACTACTAACCGAATTTTATTATTTTCTTATTTCGTTGAACTACTTTTACATTTTTGTACACACCTTTGTAATTTCAAGTTTTTGAGTCTTTTAGATTTCTTTCGAGCAGCAAAGCAAAATATAGTGTAAAGCAAAAATGATTGAGAAAAAATTTACGTAATAAAGTACGTAAAATTGACTAACTTTTGAGCAAGAATTTTGAAGGGAAAAAAATTTTTAAGCTCTTAGTTGATAAACAAATATGGCCCTTTCAGCATTCCAAATTTTAACTTTGTAGTTCCTGCAGTCTATAGAGCAACCTGTAAGAGTTTTTATGTTCAATAATACACAACACAAATGGGGCTGAGCTTTTTAATTATTTTTGCTTGATGTTTATGTTTGCCTCATAAGAAAGACTTTCTCTGAAGCAAGGGAAGAGATTGAAAGGGTTTGTTTTGTGTAACAAGGTTTGTTTTGTGCATTTATGAAGAAAGGAAAACCACTTTGCGCACTTAAGCACAGATATTTGTTTACATTCAGAGTTAAGAAGTGACTTTTATGAAGAAAATACAATTTATATTTGGCTTTAATCTCGGTTAGCAGTTAACTTAGATAAATCACAAAAAGAAAATTTGACTAGTTATCCATTCTCAAACTAAATACACTGATTAAGAAAATTGCCAATATCTTAGTATTCTATACATTTTCTGAGGCAATTGAAATGTGCTGATTCAAAATATGCAAGCCATTTATCTCAGTCACCCAGGATTGTTTAGGTATACTTCTTCAACTATTTATATTTCACTAGATTCATTTACTCTTACATTGAGTACTCATGAACATATCATTATCGAAGAACACAGTCCAATTAAGTCACATCGCATGCATATTGTATAGATATATCTATTTCAAAATACATCACATTTAAAATCCATACACAGTGAAAATACATCCTTAATCTGAAGTATACTTCAGTGTTGTACACATCTTGAACGCCTACACTGTAACAAATGATAAACAGAAAAAAGAGCATCGGAAAAGCACTAAAAAGAAAATTCTAGAACAGAAAGCAATGGAGGGAACCCCAAAAAAGGCTTTTGAAAAATGGATCCAGAAAAAAAAATTAACTTTGATATGAATTTACGTCCAATTTGGTTTGGGCCGTAGAGCGAATTAAGCCCAAATTTAAAGTAATTAAATTTTTATTGCAATGAAATTATATATTTTTTCTTTTTAAAAAAATAACTGAAGTACAATTTTTTGTTCATAGAAGTAACTTTATGCACTATTTAATTTTTTACAAAATTTTTAGGACTTTTAAACAGATCCATAATTTTTTGGAATTCCAGTAAATACACTGATAGTGTTGTGATAATACTCTATTAATAGGTGATTTTTAAAAAATGATTGAATGAATTGTATGAAATGACTAATTTTTATCAATGTTTCTTACTTATCACAAAATTAACTTCCTGAGAAACTATTTTTAATTTATACATTATTTATAATAATACTATGAAGTATCTATTATATATAATTCTCTTACGTGGCTCCCAAATTTTGGCTGTATTTCTTTTCCGCCGGTGGCAACGTTTGCTTTGTTTTGAAAACACCAAAGCATTCTGCCTTTTAATGATGTGTTTCTGATCTAATATATATAATTCTCTTACGTGGCTCCCAAATTTTGGCTGAAGTACTTTGTACAACTAAATAAGATTCTTTTCACAACAGTTAAATATTTACTTTATTTTCTTCATTCATAGAGAAAACAGTCGGCAAAGAATTCTGTTAGGTTAAAAAACATTTCGCTAAAAAAATAACGAATTCTAAAAGAAATAAAAATAAACAACTTAAAAAATAAAAATGCTGTTGCCAGCCATAGAATTTTTTGAAAGTTAACTTAGCAACATAAATCAAAATGACATAGAAGCGCAACTAGATCAAAATTATGATACCTGAGCGCTTGACGTAACAAATCCTTCAATTCTAAAAGTGTTGTATCGCCAAATGCCCAAATTAACAATTGTGTTCTTAAAGAAATTCTATAAAAAGTTTTAAATAAACAACCTACTTCTACAACTGCTTCTTGAAGAACTTGGCTCATTGATTAAAAATATTGTTTTAATTTTACAGTACTAACTTTACTTCTACTTTCATTATTGCTATGACCCTCTTTCATTACATTTTACAACTTCATGCTAAATTTGAGGACTTTAAGTTGTTTTGTGGTTGAATACTGACATTTAGAAATGTGTACATAAAAAAAATAATATTTAGAGGTTAAGAGTTGCCTCAGAAAAATTTGAATTGTTGACATTGAACTTAACAATGGAAACAATCGTTTTTGTGAAAAATTGAATTGTATTGTTGACATCAAAACTAAAAATATTGTGTTTCAACTTAACAATACTACCTTAATTTATACTTTAGAATTGCCTCGGAGAAATTTGAATTGTTAGCAATGACTTAAACAAAAAGTTTTATTTTAACTGACAAATACTATATTATAATTTTA